CCTAGGAAAGGGGCTCCCGCAAACTCGGCGCTAGATGCTAACTGTAATCCCGCCGCCTGGCCCAGCTAGTGCCAGCACCCCCTTTCGCAGCCCGGCCCAGCGAACTTCCCCATCCGCCTGCGGGCCGTCTGGGCTGCGGGCCCATCCTCCCGTTGGTGAAAATGCGTTTCGGTGGAATGGGAGTAGCGGGAGCATCTGAGAAGGGCGCGCGCAAACCCCACACGCGCCCCCCCTCCCCGCACACACATTCGGACCCCACCCACGACCGTGCACACCATCGGACTCCCACCCCTCCATCCTCACTCCAGCTTCCAAAGCTGGGGTCCAAGAGCCCTCTCCGCGTCCCGCCCCCCTCCCCGCTGGGCCTTGGTGTCCTCTCCCGCCCGAAAGGAGTCAGGAAGGCGGGAAGGGGAACCGCGGCCGGGGGTCAGGCCGTTACCCTCGGTGAGCCGCGGGCTGCCCGGCTCCCTGCTTCTCTCGGCGGCGCCCATGTCCAGCTCCCGGACGGGAGAGAGCGCTCCTCCAGCTCCTCCGCCCGCTCCTCCTCCTCCTGCACCTCCTCCGCCTCCGCCTCCGCCTCCTCCGCCGCCGCCGCCTCCGCCGGCCGCCCGGACTGCGGGACTGCTGCGGTCGTCACGGCCCGGCTCCGCGCAGCCGGTCGGTTCCTTGGCCCCGCGCAGCGGTCCGCTCTCCAGCACCTCCCGGTACGTGATAGCCTCCTTCTTCTCCTTCACTTTCTGGTCAAAAGACTTCGAGACGAACGCCGTAAGTTCTTCCATCGCCGCCAATGCCCGTCAGCCCCGCGCTCAACGTCTCCCAGCCGAGCCCAGCTCTTTTTTTCCTTCTTCTTTTTTTACTGCTCCAGCCCCCCCAATAATAACACATCAATGGGACAGGGGTGGGGGAGGAGTGGGAGGAGGAGGAAGAAGAAGAAAATGAAGAGAAGAAACAAGAAAGAGGAGAAGTAGAAGGAGAAAAAGAAGTAAGAAGAGGAGGAGGTGAAGGAGGAGGAGGAAGAAGAGGAAGAGGGAAGGGGCGGGGGCCGCGGGAGGGAAATGGGAACTGATGCTTCCCTGCCGGAGCGCGCTTGTTCAATGTTAAGATCTTTGACAATTCTTCCCGCGGAGAGTTCAGATCTGATAGCAACGCAGCGCTTGAAGTCTCACTATTTATACTTCGCAAAGGCGGCCCCTTGTTCTGAGTAAATTACCTCCCCTTCGCAACTCGGAGGGAGACCCTTCCCGGGAAGCACCCGCGCCACTACCTGGGGGTGGGGGAGTGGGGGTTGGGAGGTGGGGGTGATAGGGAGAGAGAGAGGGAGGGAGGGAGGGAGGGGAGGAGGAGGGAGAGAGAGAGAGAGAGAGAGAGAGAGAGAGAGA